CTTGTGGTGTCCCTGCTTTCAAGTCGTAACCCCATAAATATCATAGGGCTTTCCTCTTTGCCAAAGGAGTCCTTATCCCCGGTTATCCCAAATATTATTTGACATTCTGTCTTGGCTATTATTACACAAAGGAATTCACTGCAAATAACTTGAGCAGGTAATTCTTTGATCAAGGAAGGAGTCAAAGATCTAATAAGTAGGAAAAGGAAATCCCTTGCACTAGAATGGTTGTGCAAAGATGAGCACAATCTTCCACGCTTAATTTGGGGAAGTTTATATACCATCATTAAGAAAATAGTCTCAGTATGTTTTCAAAACAAATTGAACGGTTTGGGATTGAAGGCAACATTATAATGATGTCGGTTTTAAAGTAGACAGATTAAGAACTATTTCAAAAGATTGATGCATATCCAGGTAGGTGAGTAAAGGTGTACGTACATTGCAGAATTGATACAGTTTGACACAACTTGAGCTGCCATTGCTCAATGCTATGGAATTATCGGAATTGTAGTTTGGTGAGGCATCTGATCTCTTTGAAGGAGAAAGACCTTGCAAAACTACAACTTCCATGAATCCATAGCATTGAGCCATGGCAGTTAAAGTGGTGTCACACTGTATTAATTCTACAGTGTAGAAACACTTTGAGACAAACAAGCCAGGCTTCCTTTAGTTAGGCGTTTTGCCCAGGTTAACATCCACTCTTTGTGCCTAACCATACCTGGTCTGTAGGGCACTCACTCATGGGCAAGGATTCCCACTAGTCTTTCCTTCTGATTTACTCTTTATCCTTTCTGCCTATAGAAGGCATACCCAGGACTTCATTGTCCCTCAAGGCAATTCCAGTAGTGCTTTCCTAAGTGGCAGCTCCTTAAAGAAGGTTTGCGTCTCAAGAGCAAGCCGATCCTCATGAGAACCTACTGGTCTCCATATCAATGGCAAGTGGATTGGTTAGCAAATGGACCCCAGCCAGACTGGACACACAAAGAAACCACAGCTACCTCTTAGTGAGAAACCATCGTTTTTATTATTGATTCAGTGTAAACAGAAAAGAGACAGATCTTGAAACAAATTCCCTGTGCTTTCTAGTTCATTCTGTAAGCAGAAAGGATACAAACCAGACAAGGATAGGGGCTATTTTAAAAAGTTAGCAGACTTCTGGAAAAAATAAGAAGGTACACTTGGAATGGAACAAAACACCACAAGGGAGGCATTGGGAAAGATTTGGCACTTTGCAAAACCACAGTGGCTTCCCCCCAACCGACAGGGTGCGATCTAAAGTTTGTTTCCCTTTGGTCAGGAAGGAGCCTAAAGTGTAATAGGTAGGAAAAGGACATCAGTGAATAAGGAAACACAATGTCTAGGAGCAGGACACCCTGAGGATGACATTACATGGGAGAGGGAGAAAGAGAAAGACAGAGGAAAGGAAGGAAGATATGGGGAGGAGCCAGGTTGAGATGGGCATAGGTAAAGCGTTCAGGAAGCCCATGGATGAATCTACACTGTAGGATTAATGCAGTTTGACACTGCTGTAGCCGCCACAACTCAATGGTATGAAATCCTGGGACGTGTAGTTTTGTGAGGCACCAACACTCCTTGGCAGAGAAGGCTAAAGACCTCGTAAAACCACAGCCCACTCCTTGCTTCCCTTCTGCCCCCCAAATGAAAACTTTGGGTGCATCTATACTGTAGAATTAATGTAGTGTGATGCCACTTGAACCATCATGGCTCAGTGCTGTGGAATCCTGGGAGCTGTATTTTACTACTCTTTCCTACCAAAGAGTGCTGGTGCCTTGCCAAACTAAAACTCCCAGGATTCCATAGCATTGAGCCAACGCCATTCAAGTGGTGTCAAACTGCCTTAATTCTACAGTGTAAGACACACCCCATGGGAGCAAAACAACGAGTCCTGTCGCACTCCATTGTGGCTTTTGGGTCTAAATCAGTCCCTCCCCCCCCCCCTTAGCAAAGGACAACAGTGGTAAAATGTGGCCAAAATGCTTGTGTGAGAAAGTGGGTAAGTTCAGTGGGTTGCAACTACACTGTAGAATTAAGGCAGTTTGACACCACTTTCTATCGTCTTGTTTCAATACTATGGAATGTGATATATAGTTTAACGTAGCCTCATCTGCCAAAGGATGCTGGTACTTCACCATACTACAAGTTCCATGATTACTTAGCACTGAACTATGGCAATATAAAATGGTGTCACACTGCATTCATTCTACAAGATAGATGCATCACAGGAAAGCTTGTAACCAACTCCTTTATTATACCAGTTGCTGCAGGATCTGGTTAAATCAGGCCTGGGCAAACTTGGGCCCTTCCTCCAGGTGTTTTGGACTTCAACTCCCACCATTCCTAACAGCCCCAGACCCCTTCCTTTCCCCCCTCAGCTGCTCATGGCAAAAGGGATCAACCAAATGAGTGGGGCATGCTTCTTTGTGGGTGTCCCCCGTAATAAGTCACAGTGTTGTCGGGGAGGACATCTACACAGTAGCGT